AGCCCACGGAGGAGGCCGAGCATGGACCTCGGCGGGAGGCCGCTCCGCGCGGGCGGGCCCTCGAGCCGCCGACGAGCGACGTTCAGCAACGCCTTGCAGAGCGTCGTTCCAAGCGGGATTACTCGCCAGACCTGGTGACGCCTCTTGACGATCTCCATGCCCAGGAGATCGATTCCTTCTTCGCGGGCGACCCAGCCGCGGACAGCCTTGACGTCATTTTGATGCGCGCCGAGGTTCGCACTGAGTCCCACCTCAACGTTGGCCGGGAGCAAGCCCCTGGTCAAGGAGGAACAGGAGGAGGAAGCTGAGGTTGTCAAGGACGAGGAGGTCTCGGTTGAGATGGAGGCAGGCACCGCGGATGAGGCGGACGATGTCGCCCTCCCAGCCAACCGAGCCTACGTCGAAGGCCGCTTTTACCCCTACGGCAGCTGGCGGTGCTTCTTCTGCGAAGCCATCAACCCGGTTACCGAGGACCAGTGCCTCACCACGCACGCGGGCGGCCCGAATGCGGGTGCCCCGTGCGACGGCCGATGGATCAACGGGATCGACATCGGGTGGTGGGAGGTAGACCCTCAAACCGCGCCAGAGCAATGGAGGCGGAGGTTTTCTGCCGAAGAGCTTGAAGAACAACAAGCGCGGGCGGATGCCGCGAGGCTTCTCAGCGATGAGGAACTCGCTGAAGCCCTCCAGGCGGCCGAGGAGGCGCAGGCGGCCGAGCGCGCCAAGAAGCGAGAGCGGCGCCAGGCGGAGAAGGCGGAGCGCGATGATCACATCAGCGAGGCGCTCCGCATAGCAGGGTGGCAGTGCCCTAACTGCTATGAATGGAATCTTTCATTCAGGCAGCTGTGCTTTCGCTGCAGCACCCCTCTCCGTTTGGCAGAGGTCGTCTCTCGCGGGATCCCTGATCCGCGGCGTGGCGAAGAGAGGGACTCTGGCTCCGAAAGCAGCCAGGACGAGCTGGAGTACGAGATCCTTCTGGCCAATCGTGCGATGGACCAAGAAACCATCCAACCTCTTCTTAGAAACAAACACAAGAAGAGGGGCGGTAAGCGACGTCGCGAAGAGGCGACGTACGGCAAGGGCCGCGACCCTTGGAGTGCTTGGGCAGACGCCCGTGGCAAGGGCCAGGGCAAGCCGAAGGGCAGAGGCAAGTCCGATGCCAAGGGCAAGCCCAAGGGGAGGGGCAGGTACGCCTGGGGCGCTTACGCCGCGGGCATAGTTGCCGCGCTCCAACCCCGCCCAAGCACAAGCTGGGTCCCAGCCTTCCCGTGCGGGTCGGCCCGGCCGCCGCCAAGTGTTCCGCTTCCGCCGCGGACCCCCTTTTTCCTGGGTCGCGGGCTCCTCAATCGGTTGATGCACGCCCTCAACGGGAACATCAACGGCTGGTGGGGCCTGGCGGCTGCAGCGTCGGCGCCGATTGCCTTGCAGTTGCACCGCGGGGCTGTGCATGTTGTCGAGGACTCCATGCACGCGGTTGCAACAATTTCGGCCGACGTGGTCGAGGAAATCGGTCATGGGGCCAGGCGGACAGTGTGGGTCGCCGGAACAGCCATCACTCTGGTAGTAGTGATCTTGTGCAGCGCTGTTCTGTGGTACGTGAGTCGTGCCGTTGCCAATCGCATTGCGCATCTGCGACATGGCAACACCGCGGCCCCTGAGGCGCGGCTGTCTCAACTCCTTGGCTCTGAAGCGACGTTTGAGGTCGCGAGCACTAAGAAAGGGGTGACCCATAAAGTTTGGGTGCACCTCAAGGAGGAGACAGCTGCCTGTGGCTGTCGTGCTTACCTAGCAGAGGGACGTTGCGGGCATTGCGATGCCGCAATGGACACCGCTCGATCCCTAGGGTTTTTGCACGCGGCCCAGCGAGGCGCGGGTCCTGCGCTCACAGACTCCATTCGGAGTACCGCCTCCGAAGCCCTGGCTAAGGGTAAGGTTGTGTTGGGTTTGGGGAACAGTGAAGGATGTTTCTCCCAACTTGCGGCCAAGAGCCGCGGGCTCTCCTGCTTTCAGGGGCTCGCGGGTCGTGACCTGGCCGCGGCCCCAGCAGATGGAGCGAGCGCAGCCCACGCACAGTCCGGCTTCGTGCAACGTGCCGCCACTGCCACTGTGGCGCGCACACCCAGCCGGAGGAACAAGGGCCCAGTCCCCGCTAGGAGTTCTCCAGTCAAAGAAGCGGAATTCCTTGCGGGCGGGCCATACGTTCAGGCCGCCCAAACGCTGCTTGGGTCTGGAGCAGCAGAGGATGTGATCTACATCCGGGCGTACAGCTTAGATTGCCCATCCTGCATCGAGGCAATCGAAGCGTCGCTTAGCAAGGGCGCAGGCGTTCGGATTGTCGCCGACATGGGACAATGCCACCGCACCAAACTGCAGTGGCAAGCGTTGAAACGCTTGGCGGCTGCAGGCGCCGAGGTGAAGGTGGGTTGCGGCTCATCCGTGCGCGACGCCTATGCTCGCGACGGCCGCGGGGCTAAAGTAGGTACCGGTATCCAAGGGCTTCACCATGCCAAGGCCCTTTGCCTACTGCGGCCTGATGGCGCGGTGGTGCTGATTGGGAGCCTCAATTTTACCACAAGCAGCAAAGCCAATGCGGAGGCAGGGCTTAGGCTTGAGGTCCCCAAGACGCACCCGGTCGCGCAGTCCTACATCGAGGATTTCCAGAGGGTGTCGGCTGAGGCATTCTCCCTCGATGAGGCGGTCGCAAGGCGCCCTCAGTTGGAGCGAGCCAGTAGCTCCAACGTTGCTGGCAACGCCACTCGTGCCCCCAACACTGCTCCACAGGGTATCGAGTAGGCTGCGGCCAGTCGGCGCGGCGTGGTATGCATCCACGCATTATCAGAGCAGGCGTTGCAGCACGGCACGTTGCTTCGCCAACCTTTTGCATTTTCTTTTGCTTGACTGCGGGCGAAAAGCCGCGGCAGGTTGGAAACCTGCCCATTTTGCATTCCCCGCACCTTTCTCCTCCGCCCTGCCTGTGGCCCCTCGTGCTGAGGGTGCTCTTTTGCAGGTGCTGCGGACCGTGTCCTGGTCGCGGCAATGCGCTCGCCGAAGCGCGTGTGAGCTGCATTGCCTGCGGCACAAGCCATGTGCGCGGCTCTCGCTGAGTCTGGTAGCCCGTAGGGTAGTTCCGGATAGGTGAGTAGCCGTAGCCGTAGCTTAGGACCGGTAGTGTACAGTGTACCATTTGTACCATAGCTTGCACTAGCAGCACAAAGACCTGCCCAGTACTCTGGAGCCTCGCCTGTCTGCACAAAGGTGAGAGCTCGCGACTTGGGGTGGTTTAGGGTCGTGGAGGGTTGCTGTCGTCGTGCGTCCGTCCGGTAGTGCGGGCTGCCGCCCAAGCCGCATGCCAATGCTTATGATGTGCGGGCTCTACCAGAGTCGCACGCGACACCCTCACCCTACCCCATTTGCCGCGTTGCTGAAGTGCTTGACGCACTATGAGCTCTTGGTGAGCCGGAAGCCTCGGCTGAGGGGCGAATGTGAGCAGGTCAAAGCATGCATGGAGTGCTTGCTTAGTGCTAGTGCAGCTTGCAGTTTTCCCTTGCATGTGTAGTTTTGCAATTCGTAACAATGCCAATATTTTGGCTCAAGTACCGAGCTTGTGCCTTTGAGCACGGTAGAGTCGTACAGTAGCTCCTAGGTTGCTGTGCGGTCCGACCGGACGCACTCAGGCGTAGCTGCACAAGTGCTTGGACTCACGAAGTCGTAAAACAGCGTGACCGGGCTGTGATTGCATTGGCTTAGTGCAAGTCCAGTGCTGGTCGACTTCACAATATGTAATATATATATATATATATATATATAATATGTAATATGTATATATTTAATACATATAATATATATATATATATATATATAATATATATATATAATATATAATATATACTATATAATATATAATATATAATATACAATATATAATATATAATATATAATACATAATATACATAATATATATATACTATATAATAATATATATAATATATATATATTATTATATATAATATAATATAATATATATAATATAATATCATATATATATATATATAAATATATAATAATACATAATATAATATATATATATATATATATATATATATTATATATATATATATAATATATATATAATATAAATATATATATACTATAATAATATAATATTATAATATATATATAATTATATATATATTATATATATATGATATAATCTATATATAATTAATATATATATTATATATATAATTATATATAATATAATATATATATAATATATATAATATATATTATACGAATATATATATAAATAATATATAATATAAAATATAATATATAATATATAATACATAATACATAGTACATACGACATAATAAACATGTAACATATAATACATAATACATAACACATCATACATAATACAGAATACATGATATACAACATATAATATATAATTCATAATACATAGTACATAAAACATAAAACATAATATAGAATTCATAATACATAATTAATACATAATACATAATACATAATACATAATACATAATATACAATATACAATATTTATTTATTTCTACGCATAGGACCCGCAGGACCAGGCGGACAGACAAGCAGACCAGAGGACCAGAGGACCAGGGGACCACAAGACCAGGGGACCACGGGACCAGGGGACCACGGACCAGCCAGAGAACCACGGGACCAGAGGACCACGGGACCAGAGGACCACGGGACCAGAGGACCACGGGACCAGAGGACCACGGGACCAGAGGACCACGCAGGTGGGCGGGATGGCTTATTTTTTTTTTTGATGCTTATTATTTTTTTTATTGATCCCTATTATTTTTCTTTTTGATGCTTATTTTTTTTTTTTTTGATGCCTATGCCTTACAATAGGTGGTACTACAATCCCTACTAAGGACTGTTCGCATAAGGGGGAACATCCCAAGTGTAATCTCAAGGGGGTACACAAACGCTGTCTCCGGTCAGCTTGGAGCCACACCCACAGGTAGAACTGCCCTGGCCACGCCTCAGCAGCAGGGTTTAGGGTTTAGGGTTTAGGGTTTAGGGTCTAGGGTTTAGGGTTTAGGGTTTAGGGTTTAGGGTTTAGGGTTTAGGATTCAGGGTTTAGGGTTTAGGGTTTAGGGTTCTCAGACTCTAGCAGCTGAAGGCCTCGGGACTTGAGATCTCTCTCCGAAGTTCTAAAGTGCAGTCGGGCTTTTGGGTCCATTTTGCAGCCCCGCCTTCCTAAAGACCTCAGGTGCCGTACTTGTAAGCTCCAAAATCGAAACCCCAAACCCTGAACCAGGGAATTCCTGAAGCCCTCAGGCTCTCAGATGGAAGCGAAGAAGCCGACACTCTGCATCCTGCACCCGAAAAACTCTGAGCCCCTACAAAAGCGAGAGGCCGCCGCAGAGGGCGTGTCTTTGCGCTCGGCGCTCGCAGGACTTGGAGGGCCAGCCGCGGGTTGAGAGTTCGGGGTCTTGGGGATTGGCGGCTTCGAGGTGCGGAGGTAAGGTCCCAGCGACATCGCGCTGGAGGTACAGCGAACCCGAAGCAAAAATGTACACCCAAGAGTTGAGGGAACTAGGGACCCTTTCTACCCTTTTAAGGGGATCTTATAGGAATCCTACTTCCCTGACCCCCCCCCTGTCAGAGCCAGCAAGTGAACTCCAGACACTGCTTCAACTCCCAAGGACCCAGGCACGAGGCGGATCTGGCTGGCACCCAGTAGGACGACCTTGGCGCCATCCACCTGACAGTTGGGTTTAGGGTTTAGGGTTTAGGGTTTAGGGTTTAGGGTTTAGGGTTTAGGGTTCAGGGTTCAGGGTTTAGGGTTTAGGGTTTAGGGTGGGTTTAGGGTTCAGGGTTTAGAGTTTTTGGGGCTTGGGCCGAGTGTCAAACACCTGCGGGCCTCGGGTTAAGAGCCGTTGAGGGCCTTAGGGGGGGTTTTAGAGGGGGTTCAAAGTAAGTCGAAGGGTGTAGAGGTAAGAGTCTACCACCGCCCTGGGTCCTGTTCTCAACGGCGGGTAAGAAGTTTAGGGTTTAGGGCTTCGGGATTCGCGTAAGTGACTTGGGCGTGGCTTCGCGCGTAAGGCCTGAAGAGGGGATAGTCAAGAGGCACAGTGTCCCATGAGCTACATCCTGAGACACAAAGGACTCCAGATGGTGACAGGGACAAAAAACTGAAACCTGAACCCCCTTAAACCTTTAAAGCCCTCTAACCGAAATCCTGAACCCTAAGCCCGAAGCCCTAAACCCGAAACGCCAGACCCTAAACATCCCTCAACCCTGTCTTCATATCCGGCCTCCGGCCCCTCCTTGCAGTCGAGGGCCTCCGTAAAGAAGCGCATGGCGGCCTGACTGGTGGTTGAGCTGGCTTAAGGTCTGGGGTTTAGGGATTAGGGTTTAGGGTTTAGGGTTTAGGGTTTAGGGTTTAGGGTTTAGGGTTTAGGGTTTAGGGTTTAGGGTTTAGGGTAAGGGCCCTCTTCATTCGGAATAGGCTTGCAACCCTTCTCCTAAGCGCACACAAGACGCGAGGTGAGCCCAAATCTCCTCTGAACTGCAGGGATGTTGGGAGGAAGTCTAGAATCCTACTGCCCTACATGGTTTAGGGCTTAGGGTTTAGGGTTCAGGGTTTAGGGTTTAGGGCTTAGGACTCAGGGTTTAGGGTTTAGGGTTTAGGGTAGGGGGGTAGGGCTTAGGGTTTAGGGTTTAGGGTTTAGGGTGAGCCCAACATTCCTCTCAATGAAGGGAACGCAGCTAACAGAGTGCGTCTTGAGCTCTCTGCTTGTCACAGACATGATAAGCCTACTTATAACACCCTACTGAGTGGACTTAGGGGGCTTACAAGTGTCCCTAAACCCTCAGCCCTAAACCCTAAACCCTAAACCCCAAACCCTAAACCCTAAACCCTAAACTGCCCAAAAAACCCTAGAAAAGTGATAACTTTAGGGTTTGGGTCCAGGGGCTTCGGGCTTAGAAGGGCCCTGTAGGACTCGACATGCTTGCAGCCTCCACGTCGGCCACTTCGATGCTCACGTGCCCGAGTAAGAGGAGGCTCTCCTCCTCGGTTTCGGTAATGCTGTGAATTGCTTTTGTACATCGATGTAAAACGAAATCACAGCATTACGCTCTCCTCCTCAGCTTGGTTTTTTCGGGCTTAGGGTTTCGGGGTTTTGGGGTTTAGGGTTTCGGGTTTGGGGTTTAGGGTTTAGGGTTTGGGGCTTCGGGTTTAGGGTTTCGGGTTTAGGGTTTAGGGTTTCGGGTTTAGAGTTTAGGGATTTAGGGGTTTAGGGCGTTTAAAGGGTTTTTGGGTTTCGGGTTTAGGGCTTTTAGGTTTGGACGGGTTGAGCAAGGGTTCTTAGAATCTAAACGCTGTTGGGATGGCCTGGCCCCACCAAAACAACCTCATCCTACAGCCTCTAGCCACGCGATGAAACCTCCGAAGGCCCGAGCCTGAAACCTCCGAAGGCCCGAGCCTGAAACCTCCGAAGGCCCGAGCCTGAAACCCATAACCCCGCAACCTCAACCCCGAAATCCAAATCCCTAAACCTTGAACTTCGACCCCCCAACCCTAAACACCACGACCGCAAACCCTAAACCCTAAACCCCAAAACGTAAGCCCTACAACCCTACAACCTTAAGGCTCTGAAACCCTGCAACCCTGAACCCAGCAACCCTACAACCCTAAACCCTAGACCCTAAACCCTACAGTTGACCCTACAACCCTAAACCCTAAACCCCAAACCCTAAACCCCAAACCCTATATAAACCCTAAACCCCAAACCCCAAACCCGAAACCCTAAAACCCTAAAACTTAAACACCAAACCCTAAACCCCAAATCCCTAACCCTAAACGAAAAAACCACACCCCAAACCTAAACCCCATAACCCCCAAACCCGAAATCCTGGAGCTGAGAGTTGGGCGGGTGCCTCGGGGAACTGAGTGAGGCGGCGCGTGCCTCCGGTCGAAGCCCACGCACGCGGAACTTTCGGGCTTGGGGACCTGAACTTAGGGCAGCCTATGGTTCGCTTAGGGTTTAGGGTTTAGGGTTTAGGGTTTAGGGTTTAGGGTTTAGGGTTTAGGGTTTAGGGTTTAGGGTTTAGGGTTTAGGGTTTAGGGTTTAGGGTTTAGGGTTTAGGGTTTAGGGTTTAGGGTTTAGGGTTTAGGGTTTAGGGTTTAGGTTTAGGCTTAGGGCTTTAGGCTTAGGGCTTAGGGCTTAGGGCTTAGGGCTTAGGGGCTTAGGGCTTAGGGCTTAGGGCTTAGGCTAGGGCTTAGGGCTTAGGGCTTAGGGCTTAGGGCTTAGGGCTTAGGGCTTAGGGCTTAGGGCTTAGGGCTTAGGGCTTAGGGCTTAGGGCTAGGGTAATAGGGCTTACGGTTCCTTAAGACGAAGAATACTTGTGTTTTTCTGCGGGCGGGGGGGGGGGGGGTCTTGAGCAAGCAGTAGGGTCTTGGGGTTTTCGGTTCAGGGTGACACTTCGTGTGGGGCAGGATAGCACTTGGAACCGGCCACGGTAAAGCCTCAAACGATTAGGGTTTAGGGTTCAAGGTTTTAGGGTTTAGGGTTTAGGGGTTAGGGTTTAGGGTTTAGGGTTTAGTGTTTAGGGTTTAGGGTTTAGGGTTTAGGATTTAGGGCGAAAGGAGAGGGCGTGCCTGCGTACCAGTCGGGGGCAACTTTCGGCATGAGCAAGCTCTGCCTCACCAGACGGAAACGAAAGGGTTTAGGGTTTAGGGTTTAGGGTTTAGGGTTCAGGGTTTAGGGTTTAGGGTTTAGGGGACAAACCACAAACTCTTAAACCCTAGACCTTTGTGGCAGACAGACAGAAAAAACGGTGTCCTCATGTTCTGGCGCAAAAACTCATTGAAGCCAGAACTCCAAATCCCCGGGAAGCTTCCAGAAGTTGGGGGTGTCGGGTTTTGGTGTTCAGACCTTTAGGGTTTAGGCTTGAGGGTTTGTAGGGTGCAGGGTTTGCGGTTCGGGGAGACCTCAGAACTTCAGGGCTTTGTGTTTTGTCGCCCTAAACCCTAAACCCTAAACCCTGAACCCTAAATCCTAAACCCTAATCCCTGAACCCTATACCCTAAATCCTAGACCCTAAATCCTAGACCCTAAACCCTAAGCCCTAAACCCTAAACCCTAAACCCTAAACTCTAGACCCTAAACGCTAAACCCTAAACCCTATCTTTCTTCGGGTTCAGCTGTTGAGCTCAGGTGGGAGCACAAGCTTGCCCATGACGTTCTCGACCATCTGGATGGCCTTAGGGGCGTGGCCCTGGCCTTGAGGCCAGCTTTAGGGTCTAGGGTTTCGGGTTTAGGGTTTAGGGTTTAGGGTTTAGGGTTTAGGGTTCAGGTTTAGGGTTTAGGGGTTTACGGCTTTTTAAGGTTTAGGGTTTAGGGTTTAGGGTCTAGATAACATGAGCTACAGCACCCACAGTAAGTATACCCTAAGCCCTTGGCCACGAAAGTCAGTTCATGAAGATCGTTTATTGCGGTTATGACTGTTATCACGACTATTCCTATCATTCCTACTATGACTGTTTTTACGATTAGTACCATTAGTACTATTCTTACTATTCCAAACGTATTCCTATCAATACTATCATTACTATCATTACCATGATTTACTATCATTACTATCATTACTATCATTACTATCATTACTATCATTACTATCATTACTATCATTACTATCATTACTATCATTACTATCATTACTATCATTACTATCATTACTCTTAGTACTGCCATTAGTACTACGATTAACATTGGTACCAGTAGTACCACTATGACGAAAGCCTGAAACCCGCATATACCCTAAATCCTACGCCCGAGTCCCTCAACCCGAACTCCTTGCTTACGGTGTTGAGCTGCCCAAATAACTCAAGCCTCTAAACCCCAAAACCCTAAACCCTGCCTTAAACCCTAACCCGTAGCCCTTCGGGCTGCGGGCTTTGAGGCAGTGTGCTGCTCAGTGATTTAAGGGTTTTGGGGTTTAGGGTTCTAGGGTTTTGGGACTTTAGTGACTTTTGAGTTTTGGGGTTTTGGGGTTTTAGGGCTCAGGATTGGAGGGCTGAAGGCTTAGGGTTCAGGTTTCCAGGTTTTCTGGTGCCGGGTGCAGACATCCACTGAGCTGTGCACGCTGGCCATCACTCCCATCCCGAAGGCACCAGAGCCCTAAAGCCTTAAACCCTGAAACCCCAAAACCCTAAACCCTAAAACCCTAAAACCCTGAAACCCCAAACCCTAAATCCTAAATGTCTCAATCCCTGCAGCCTACAGCCTTAAAGTCTTGCAACGTGCGAAGCCGCCTAAAACCCTAAAGCTTCAGAGCCGGAATCAACAACCTAACAACCTCCAACCCTGGATTCATGCATCAGGGATCTTGAGCCACCATAACGGGCAGAGGAAGGGTTTAGGGTGTAGGGTTTAGGGTTTAGGGTTTAGGGAGGGTTTATGGGTTTAGGGTTTAGGGTTTAGGGTTTAGGGTTTAGGGTTTAGGGTTTAGGGTTTAGCGCTTAGGGCTTAAGGTTCTGTTCGTGCCGAGGGTTCCAGGGTTCGAGGGTTTGCATTGCAAGTATCCCCGAAAAGCCTCACATATCTGCTCACCTATATATATATATATGTATATATATATATGTATGTATGTATGTATGTATGTATGTATGTATGTATGTATGTATGTATGTATGTATGTATGTATGTATGTATGTATGTATGTATGTATGTATGTATGTATGTATGTATGTATGTATATACACACACTCAGCATGGTCATAAAAACCAAAGAAACAAACAGAATTTGAACAACTCACCTCTTCAGGGCTGGAGGGATGATGCTACTAGGGGCATTTAGAGTTTCAGGGTTTTGGGTTCTTTGCTGTTGTTGTTGTTGTTGTTGTATTATTATCATTTTTTTATTTTTCTTTTTTTTTCTTATTATTATTATTATTTCTTTTTTGGGGGGGGTGGGGGGAGGGGGGATGGGGACTGGGGTTTGGGGTTCGAGCGGGAAATGAAAACCGCGGACAACGAGGCATACCGCAAAAGTCTGTTCGAGGTTCCTTCTACAGGGCCCTTCTACCCGGCAGATGAGTAAGTGACCCCACATGTACCCAGCGAGGGAACGTCGATTTTCTAACTCTGAGCCCCTGAACCCTCAGCCCTACACCCCCTCATGAGACCACCTCGGGCAGAATTTTTTCGGCCATCCTCCAAGAACAAACCCAGTGTGGGGGTTTAGAGGTTCGGGGTTTAGGGTCTGGGGTTTAAGTTTTCGATTTGGCGCTTGGGGTTCGCGGGTCTATAGAGTCAAGGGTTGGGGGGTGTATGACATGCCATGGCAATCCATGGCAACTGTGAGCGGAGGTTTAAGCAGCGCTGAACTCTAATTCCCGAACCTTTTCCCACACTTTAGGGTTCAGGGTTCAGGGTTCAGGATGCAGGGTTTAGGGTTTAGGGTTTAGTTTAGGGTTGAGACCCCTAAATCCCCAAACCTTCACACTGAGATCATGGAGGCGGGGTGCGCTTTTCGCTGAGGAGCGAGCCTGTCAGGTCTGATGGCCCCCTCGCCAGGGGGGTGCGGAGGCCATCACCTTGCCCCTCCTCCTCTTCTGCTGTTCCACGGTTCCGCTGGGGGAGCTTCCGTCAAGCGCTTCCCTGAAACCCTCTAAGACGCAAAGACGTCAACCCTAGGGCCCTAGGGTTTGGGTCTCTTCGAACCCATCGAGCTGCTGTCCTGAGATGTCCTCGCTGGCGAGCGCAGCGATGCAAACCACGAGGCCAGCAGCCACCTTGTGCCTACACTGGGCCATCACGTACACGTCCTACGCGTGTGCGTGCCTGCCCTCCTTTAGCTGCCAGAGGCCACCATGACCGTGTCTCCCTGCACTGTCTTGGTGCGGTAGCCATGCTCAGAAGCTGCCGCCTCGACACACTTGCCGCTGTCTCCAAAAGCTGTCTCGATTTGCAGGATCTGCGGGTGGAAGGTTGAGAACAGTGAGCCACCCCCAGCCAGCACTTGACACTCATGGACCTCGACATCCATCTTCACCACATCCACGGACGTGGGAGCAATATCTGCAAGAACCATATCCAAGGTTTTCACGGGCACAACCTCACAGTTTGCGTCGCCTGCTTGACAGGTTTTCCCGGCACCACACGACAGAGCACCGTTCCCAACGTTAATCTGGGAGTTCGTGCTCTTGATGACACAAGTGGTCGAACTGAGCTCGTCGGGTGACACCAGCGCAACTGGCACGATCTTAACACGTGATCGTAGGTGAGGATTCAAGCATAGACTGCCCTCGATGGCTCGACGATTCCGTGTCATAGCTTCAACTGCCACGACATTGTACCCTGCTTGCGCAAAGAGCAAACTGTAATATCCCAGGTTTGCACCGATGTCCAAGAAGGTGCCTGAATGCGGAAGCACCGCTCCAGCTTTGGCAGCCATTCCATTTGGCGTGCTGATCTCCCAGACGTGTCGGGAGTAAATGGATGCCGAAACGATGTCGTTGTTCCCCAAGACCACCATATCGAAGCCAGCAGCCACACGTGCCTTGCGCATGCCAGTTGGCACACAGTCCCTTGGCAGCTTCTCCATGGCAACTACAGGCTCACGGTATGCAGCAGGTGTAGCATCGGCACCCATACTGTCGACGGGCGCTGGACTGTCGGAAGCCACCATGACCGTGTCTCCCTGCACTGTCTTGGTGCGGTAGCCATGCTCAGAAGCTGCCGCCTCGACACACTTGCCGCTGTCTCCGAAAGCTGTCTCGATTTGCAGGATCTGCGGGTGGAAGGTTGAGAACAGTGAGCCACCCCCAGCCAGCACTTGACACTCATGGACCTCGACATCCATCTTCACCACATCCACGGACGTGGGAGCAATATCTGCAAGAACCATATCCAAGGTTTTCACGGGCACAACCTCACAGTTTGCGTCGCCTGCTTGACAGGTCTTCCCGGCACCACACGACAGAGCACCGTTCCCAACGTTAATCTGGGAGTTCGTGCTCTTGATGACACAAGTGGTCGAACTGAGCTCGTCGGGTGACACCAGCGCAACTGGCACGATCTTCACACGTGATCGCAGCTGAGGATTCAAGCATAGACTGCCCTCGATGGCTCGACGATTCCGTGTCATAGCTTCAACTGCCACGACATTGTACCCTGCTTGCGCAAAGAGCAAACTGTAATATCCCAGGTTTGCACCGATGTCCAAGAAGGTGCCTGAATGCGGAAGCACCGCTCCAGCTTTGGCAGCCATTCCATTTGGCGTGCTGATCTCCCAGACGTGTTGGGAGTAAATGGATGCTGAAACGATGTCGTTGTTCCCCAAGACCACCATATCGAAGCCAGCAGCCACACGTGCCTTGCGCATGCCAGTTGGCACACAGTCCCTTGGCAGCTTCTCCATGGCAACTACAGGCTCACGGTATGCAGCAGGTGTAGCATCGGCACCCATACTGTCGATGGGCGCTGGACTGTCGGAAGCCACCATGACCGTGTCTCCCTGCACTGTCTTGGTGCGGTAGCCATGCTCAGAAGCTGCCGCCTCGACACACTTGCCGCTGTCTCCGAAAGCTGTCTCGATTTGCAGGATCTGCGGGTGGAAGGTTGAGAACAGTGAGCCACCCCCAGCCAGCACTTGACACTCATGGACCTCGACATCCATCTTCACCACATCCACGGACGTGGGAGCAATATCTGCAAGAACCATATCCAAGGTTTTCACGGGCACAACCTCACAGTTTGCGTCGCCTGCTTGACAGGTTTTCCCGGCACCACACGACAGAGCACCGTTCCCAACGTTAATCTGGGAGTTCGTGCTCTTGATGACACAAGTGGTCGAACTGAGCTCGTCGGGTGACACCAGCGCAACTGGCACGATCTTAACACGTGATCGTAGGTGAGGATTCAAGCATAGACTGCCCTCGATGGCTCGACGATTCCGTGTCATAGCTTCAACTGCCACGACATTGTACCCTGCTTGCGCAAAGAGCAAACTGTAATATCCCAGGTTTGCACCGATGTCCAAGAAGGTGCCTGAATGCGGAAGCACCGCTCCAGCTTTGGCAGCCATTCCATTTGGCGTGCTGATCTCCCAGACGTGTCGGGAGTAAATGGATGCCGAAACGATGTCGTTGTTCCCCAAGACCACCATATCGAAGCCAGCAGCCACACGTGCCTTGCGCATGCCAGTTGGCACACAGTCCCTTGGCAGCTTCTCCATGGCAACTACAGGCTCACGGTATGCAGCAGGTGTAGCATCGGCACCCATACTGTCGATGGGCGCTGGACTGTCGGAAGCCACCATGACCGTGTCTCCCTGCACTGTCTTGGTGCGGTAGCCATGCTCAGAAGCTGCCGCCTCGACACACTTGCCGCTGTCTCCGAAAGCTGTCTCGATTTGCAGGATCTGCGGGTGGAAGGTTGAGAACAGTGAGCCACCCCCAGCCAGCACTTGACACTCATGGACCTCGACATCCATCTTCACCACATCCACGGACGTGGGAGCAATATCTGCAAGAACCATATCCAAGGTTTTCACGGGCACAACCTCACAGTTTGCGTCGCCTGCTTGACAGGTTTTCCCGGCACCACATGACAGAGCACCGTTCCCAACGTTAATCTGGGAGTTCGTGCTCTTGATGACGCAAGTGGTCGAACTGAGCTCGTCGGGTGACACCAGCGCAACTGGCACGATCTTCACACGTGATCGCAGCTGAGGATTCAAGCATAGACTGCCCTCGATGGCTCGACGATTCCGTGTCATAGCTTCAACTGCCACGACATTGTACCCTGCTTGCGCAAAGAGCAAACTGTAATATCCCAGGTTTGCACCGATGTCCAAGAAGGTGCCTGAATGCGGAAGCACCGCTCCAGCTTTGGCAGCCATTCCATTTGGCGTGCTGATCTCCCAGACGTGTTGGGAGTAAATGGATGCCGAAACGATGTCGTTGTTCCCCAAGACCACCATATCGAAGCCAGCAGCCACACGTGCCTTGCGCATGCCAGTTGGCACACAGTCCCTTGGCAGCTTCTCCATGGCAACTACAGGCTCACGGTATGCAGCAGGTGTAGCATCGGCACCCATACTGTCGATGGGCGCTGGACTGTCGGAAGCCACCATGACCGTGTCTCCCTGCACTGTC